ATAGAGTGGTAAAATCAGATGCCTGTTTATATTAATTTCCCAGAAAGTTTGACAAGCTACGTTCCATACTTTGTTAATTCATATTGATTTGATATACAAGTAAGGGATTCCATTTTGATGGAAAGTTTATTTCAGGTTTAATTACTTTGATTTTTAGAATTCATTAGTTTACATTATTGTCCTCAGTGAAATTTGGATTCTTCAGATAATTTATTTTGTGTTTAATAGAAAAACTTGTACACTTTGAGTTTGGTGAAGGACTAAATCTTTGATAAACTCCTTAATACATTTGGAGAATATCATTTTAATTTTTGCAGACATTACCCATCCTATGAGAGAGAGAAAAAAATCTCAAAATTGCATTTGTTAATATTTACTCAAATATCCGAGGTTTTATACCATAACAATAGAAGCTGTTTTGCTATATATGTTGCTTTTGTATATTTGTTGTTTCTAAAGAATATCCTTATAGAAGCCAAGAAGAGAACTTTCAATTAATCAGTCAGTTAATTTGTCAGTTTTTTGTTGTTTATTCTTTCAATCTGTTGAAGAGATTGTTTTTTGTTCTTGAGATTTATGATCAAATTTAGAACTTACTTCAAGATAAAGATTATGTACTCTTATAATAAACCCAAGATGATAAGCCTTATAAACCAGAAAACTGTTTTATGTTGCCTTTTTTCTTCATCTTCTTTTCTTCTTCTTTCTTCTTCTTCTTCTTCTTCTTTTTCTTCTTTTTATAAATTTGTCCCTTTCACAAACCCATGAAAGCCAGAGTCCACCTTTGTGTGAAATATGTACTGATTCTTAAGGAATTCAGCATCCATTAGATACAATTTTGATCGGTAATTAAACTCATATTCCAGTTTTCAAAGAATAACTTGCAATGATGATTAGTGAGTGTGTGTGTGTGTATGACTGAAATTTGCACTTTGAAATCATAATACTTGCTTAAATAAAATGCGAGAGTGATGGTTAGTGTGCACATTGTGGGTGATTCTTATATCTTTACCATATTTTCTCATTATGAATATTATTTTGCAACATCATTGCATGTACATATAAATTAAGACCTCAAGGGGTTTTCAGATCTTCAAGTAGCCTGTGAACTGTCCATAAACCAGATATCCTACAAAGGGCAGGATCTTCATAGATAAAGGGTAGTCAAAAAGAAATTTGAAAATTCAAGGTTTATTTCACACTATTGACTCTTCACCAGTAGGAGTAAAGCTTTTGAAGAGTTGGTATTAATCAAATTTCTCATATTCATGTACATCAAGGAAATGTAATATACCTAAATAGGTCAGTAATATAAACCATAATATTTTTCACCTCCACACAAAGTAAAATGTGATTTGATCTTATAAATGAGCAAATGTAAAAATAATAATAATAATAAAAATTATATAATGGAAACAGTTATTTCATTTCAGTATAAACTGAGAATTGCATATCAACACAGGTTTAACAGAACCTTTTTCTCTATTTTTATTTTATGAATCTGAAATTGGCCCCTTCATATACCAGTAAATCCTATTATAAAAAAACTGGTCAAGCTTTACAAAAATGTAGTTTTCTAGTAAGTTTTGAGCATTAAATTTATCTGTAAAACTGCCTCGATCTAATTTCCAAAGGCTATTTTGCAGACTAATTATATCATTTGTATAATATTTATCATGAATATAAATATTTTATATGAAATATTTTCAGGAACAAGAAATTGTATTTATTTTTTCTCTGATGCACATCTCAAAGGTCTTTTGTTTATAAGAGCATTGTTCTCTCAGTAAGCAGGCAGGAAGAATAGTATTTTAGTAGTTGGTCAGAAAATAACATTCAAGATTTTGTGCAGTTTCAGTGAGATACGAACATTTTCTGGTATGTATATTCAAGATTGGATTGTCAAGTTGTATTTAATAGGATTTGGAAATCTAATTATGATATTAAAATAAGAGCAATGTAATTTACATCATTGTGTTTATGTCGTTCCTTCCTAGAATATCGTATACATTCAGCTTACAGGGCCAGTGTACCAGTGGTGATATGACGTGTACTGGACTACTAGGATCAAGGATCAAAGGCAGTGGAGCCGTTAAAGTATCTTTTTCAAGTAAGACATGTTATTAACAGTGTTTTCAGGAGACACTATGAATCTTGTGTTCAATGCTTTCATTGCCATTCCAAGCAATATTTTGGTTTGTTTTCTGTATGTTGTGAAATTCTAAATGCAATATTGTGATCAAGGAACTTATCAATTGTTTAAGATGCAAAGTTTCTGTAGATTAGGCTAATGTTCTATTTTAGTAGATTATGTTTATATAGCCACATGTCTGTGCTCATTTTACTTGAACTTCCTATAATTGTATTTATTTTATTTTATTTAAATTCCATATTATATTTGGAATGATATCCATTAGAAGTCCCTTTGTTATATTTCACTGACTATTGCAGGTGGAAACTTTTCTCCAATAAATGCATGTTACAGCTGATGGGTTGGTGATTCTTAACTCCCTAGTACATTTCGACTTCAACTTCCACCATGGGTTGGCAAGAGGAGTACAACACCTTCAGGAGGAAGAGAGCCAATGCCAAAGGAAAATTTGCAAGGGAAGGGACTTTATTCCAAGGAGTGAAAAGTAAAGGTAATGATGTATCTTTACTGAATGAAAAGTACTTCTGAAGAGGTCATAGATACTTTTTAGTGTTTGGAAATTAAAAATGATGAACTGATAAATCTTGTGTGTGATAACAATTTAGGTTCAGTAATATGTTTTGGATAATGAACGGATCAAGAATGAAATACAGGCATCAGTTGGTAAAGTTGATAGTGACCAGAACACTGTAGGTAGATTGAAAGTTAACAAAAATTTGTACCATGTAAGATTGATGGTGGTCTTAGAGATTATCCTAGTTTTAGAGAAGATTTCAAAAAGCTAGCGGTAAGTGTGTATGGACCAGACCTGTATGCTCTGAAAATGTCTCTGAGATGTTTCAGTGACTGGATGATAAACTTGGGAATGCAAGGAAGGTAGTAGACCTAGTAATAGTGATTTTAAGATCTTGAAGGAAGATCTTGGACAGAGATACCAAAGGGTTTATTATGATGGTAAATCAGGTAGAACAGTGTTGGGTTTAAAAAAGGTAAATTTATCCAGTGAACTTCATAAATTCAAATTTAAGACTTAGTGGCAAGGACAAGTTTGAATTGGTAAAGAGTAATGGCATGTGCTGAATCGTTTGTAGGCGTATCAAATTCTGAGACAGATCGTCCCTATGGTGATATTGATGTTCTAATTGGGTCAATTTATAGTGAACTATTACCCATGTTATACAAACAAATGGGTTCCACAAGCTACTGGAGAACCAATTTAGCCTCAGAATCCGTGGTAGGCATGATGAGACAATTAATACAATTAATGCCAATTGTCATGTAATTGTAAGGACCCACAAATTAGCAAGTTCTGTAAGCTTGAATGAAATAGGTTTTGAACCAGTTGATGAGCTGAAGAAGAGGCTGGACCAATTTTTTGCCATTGAGGAAATTGGTGTAAATTGTAAACTGCAATGTATCACATGTATGTCAAGCTTGTCCAACATCCAATTGTATTAATTTACAAGAAGAAAGAGAACTTGTGCTAATTGAGAAAGGATTAGTTTATGGTGTTGAACAGAAACACTGGATAATAACTTATCCCTGGATGAAAGACCCTAGTGATTTAAAGAATAATCTTTAAGTAGCAGTTGCTTGGTTGAAAACAGATTGATGACACTGAATATGCAAAGAAGTATCAGAATCAAATTGAAGACATGATTGATAGATGGGTATGAAGGAAATTAAGTAAAGAGATGTGCAACTATAAAGGTCCAGTTTAGTATATACATCATATGTTTTAAAACCAGAATCTAATTCAACACCTTTGTGCATTGTATTCAGTTCTTTGGTGTCATATATGGGATAGAAACTCAAAGATTTTCGGACAAAGGGACCAGACATCCTAAATGGATTACTGGGAGTTTTGTTTAGATTTAGACAGAAGAAGATATCAATTGCTGGTGATATATCAAAGATGTATCACTAAAACTTAGCACTCTAGACCAGCATGCTCACAGGTTTGTGTGGAGAGATTTGGACATTCGAAAATCACCTGACCACTATATTTTGACTTCTGTATCCTTTGGTGACAGCTCAAGTGATACCATAGCCACATTATTTTTGGTGTACTGCAGAAAAATTTGGTTTGGAACTTCCTGATATGTATATGGATGACTTACTATATTCTAATAATGTAGAAAGTTTTAAAATTGATACAACATGCAGAAAAGCCTCTATCACTTGAAAATTTTCATGTAAAACATTGAATACTGAATCGGTATTATTATAATTATCACCTAAATATAAAACCTATTAATGCAGTTGGTAAACCAACCCTCATAATTTTCTCTGATAGTAGTATACATGCTTATGGGGCATGTGCTTATGGCAAGTTAATGAGAGCCTGATCATTGCCAAAAATAAGATTGCCCCTATGAGACAGTTATCAATTCCTTGATTAGAATTGTGTGATACACGTATGTCAGCCAGATTAAAGGAATTAAATTAGGAGTTTGAGTCAGTATTTCATATTTATGACTCATCAATTGTAAGGTCACAGAATCACATGGGTTCAAAACTTTTGTTGCTATTCGAATAGGAGAAATTCAGATAACAGATCCAAGAGAATGGTGGTGGACTGACACAAATCAGAATATTGCAGATTTAACTTCTAAACCATGTACCCCAAAGAAAATTGGTAAGGATTCTGCCTGGCAAAATGGTCCCATCATCATCCAGTAACTAAGTAATATGTGATGTATTTACACAATGTGGAT